TTCGTCTCTAATATGCCTATTGTTATAAAATTCAGTGATAAACGCTTCAAAACCTTCACAGGATTTTAATAATAAGTAAGTTGAATTCCATCTATGACCTACGTCAGCAATAAAGGTTTTTGTACGCTCATTCTCAGCTTATTCACAAAATTCTTCAAATGCTTGTTTTCTACTAGGTGTAATCGTGATATATATAAGTGCATTCCTAATTCTTCAAGCCTTGACTAGTAGAATTCTTGTTCCCAATTTGTACAGGGCCTGATTGGACAGTATGCAGTACCTATATTGGAAGAGAAATCTGTTTGGGGTACTGATGCTCCTACAAGAATAGCATACATGGATACCCAAGTAAACTTTTTAGATCTATTCCCCTGCTTCTTTTGTTCAAGTAAGTGACACTTAACAGTTGTTTCGATTTCTCCAGGACATTGCTCGATTAACATTTATAGCTCTACGCAATGAGAATATCGATGGGAAGCTTCTGACTTTTGCCGGACCTCGTGCATGGACAACCCAAGAGGTGAACTGTAATCTCCTGGATTGAGGAGGAGAATTTCTGGTTCTTGGATTTATTACCAATCTCTCTTTCTTGATAATGCCATTATTTCTGAAATTCATTGTTAACTAACAAAATACAGTTGCTTGGATACATTTTTTTAAGAACCTATCATTCTTTCTTCCGTTTTCTTTGACTCTCTATATAAATATACACTCCTGGCCAGGACTCCCCCACCCCAAACGCACTGTAGGAGAAAGGAACCTTGTGCTTCAATGTTTCCACATTATCTTGATGACATACTTATGGAATATTTTTTTCCCACAGAATAATAAAAAGGGAAAAATGATCTTGGTCATGAGACTCTCTCACAACTACATGATTTGATAAAGAAAACTATATGATCTTATTGTCTGCTTTTCCAAATAATTTAAACAGCACTGGCAAACCATACCATGCCAATTCCTTTTCAGGCTTGAAACCCAATATCTGCAGGGGAAGAGCGAAGAGAGGACTGGGGTGTCAGAAAATACAGTAGACTATCTTCAGAAAATATTTGGGATTGGTAATTATTTGAAGGAGACAACAGGTGCTAAAGATTACCATAAAGCGGAAGATTAAGTCCCTCAGAGCATTTTTTATTGCTTTTGTGCTAGTTCTCTTGAGATTGTACTTGCCAATGCTATTTGTATGTACCATCATTATCTTGTAGCTAATTTTTCTATATATATCCTATTCAAAATCTAAAGTTGCAGTGCTTTTAGCTTCGTATATTTCCAACTTAAAGAAAGTGATCCCGGAGTATGCCAGTTACACCATTCTGAAGTTTTCACATTGCACTGCAAGATCTCATCTGTCCTTTGATCAATGTCAAGCAAACCTTTCGGCCTTTTTAATGAAATATGTGATGTACTTTAGTATTACTAGCTAGCTTGAATTCTGTTAGAATTATATAATTTCAGGAGGAAAAAAAATGTAACTCGAACATAGAGCATTAGTAAAATTCCAAGTATTTCTATCCTTATCCATATATTCATAATACTTTAGCAAAAGGTATATTTCCAGTAGTATTACTGCATATGTACTCTGGGAGAAAGTGTTTCGTCGGGGCTTCTTTATAACTTGTTCTTATTTTTAGGTGATCACATTGTGTGAGAGGCTGGCTGGTCAAGATGCCAATGTGACCACCGTCCCCGTCTCAGTTTTGAGATTTACACGCCAGCTGACTCGTTTGTTTGAGTGGACTAGTGACGTTGCTGATAGATTGACATTTTCAGAGGTAATGATCTTTTTGTCTTCTCCTTTCATATGATGGTTTCTATCTACTAATGCATGAAGTGAGAAAAATTGTATAAACACATGGAAATATTTTCTCCCACGCAACTCTCACAATATAATGCAACATGATTGAATAGATCTGACCTCCATTCGCAATCTGTCTATTCTTTAACTAAAAAATTATTAATCTGATGTTAGAATTACACTTATGACTTGACTACTTTCTTCCAAGATTTTTGCCAGATAATTTTCCAGTGGGCCTTGCGTGCCTATGATAGCCCAATGTGACAACAATTGCACATATATATTAATCTTTCTTTGCTTGGTGGTCTTTCTAAATTTAAATTATATAGTGATTCTTCTGCGGTGACATATGTAGGTTCTTTCTAGCGATACTGTTTTCTCGGTCCCTATGAATGAGACATACAACCTTCTTGGTGTGGATGCAAAAGATATTGTTTCCTTAGAGAAATATCTTCAGGATTATTTCACCAATATATTGAAGAAGTTGAAGGATCTCAAAGCACAGTCAAAGCAAACTGACATTTTCTTTTGAAAGGAAATTTTTCATATCTACGCACATAAGCTGTATATGTGCTGTGTAATTCATCTTGTATTCATAGAAAAAAAAATGTACATGTACTTGATGGAAATAGACAGTTGAATGGTAGTGACTGAATTGAAAAATCCTTGGTTTCTTATCTATTTCAGCCTTTCTTGTTCCTGTTGGGATTTGTAGCTCTATGTGGCATCCATACCATATGCTCGTGCTGTGGATTCCTGCATTACTTAAATTGTGATTAATCCTCATCTCTAACAAAATTTTTGAGGTATATGGGTGTTTTGTAGAATTCTTCTTTATTGGATCTCTTATTTTAGAAATTGTTTTTATTTTATTAGCACGATTTTGAGAACTATATATATTTTTTACAACACACGAAGTGACTTTAAGATTACAAAATGATAACATGCTAGTCAGCCGTGACTTTTTGAGGCTCACATGGTGTTGTAGAAGTTGGCATCCAGACCATTAGCTACCTAAGACCTCAAAAGCTGCAGCAACTAATAATATGCTGAGTACCATACCTACAGAACTCGGCCCCATGTTGAGAACCCACATTTTACTGTATAGGCATGGCTTTTTCACGGCAATCCACCATGGATATGCCAAGAGTCAGAGGCAGTGCAATCGCGACCATGAACGCTCCCAGACTTGCCAAGAATGGGAAAGCCATCTCTATACAGTACGCCAATTCTCCAAAAAAGATTCTGATACCGACCTGAGCCATCCAGGGCATGGCTTGTTTTTGGTCTAGTATAAAGGCGATCCAAGTTGTCAAAAACTGGCATGGCATAGATTTGGAATGCACATTAGCAGTTTATTACCATTATCAGGAGTACTATACCAACAATATACTTTGATGTATTATTCCAGTAGAACCTGTAAAATGGGACTGGAATTCCCACACTAAAAAACTTCAATGTGCTCAATATTTATAGCACTTGCCATATATTCATGAGTCCAATGTCCAACAATTGCAACAATCAATAGATATGATATTGTCACTCGTCACATAGGCTCGTGCGAAGGATGTTTTCTGTTTGTAGGCATAGTCCCCTGCTGTAACAAAGTACTCTTCACTAAACTAGCAAAAACGGCATACACACACATATATATATAAATATATGGATGGAAGTAAATAGTTTATTGAACTTAAAGAAAATACAAATGCAAGAAATGCTTGAATTTTGAAATTACGAGAAATTACAAGGGAATCTAAAACTATCTTTAAGATTGTGAATATTAATTATTCTACGCTTGAGCAAAAACAGATGAAATGGTTCTCCTTTTAAAGACCCGGATGTGAAACAATTGAAGCATCTTGAATAGTATCACGCGAAAAACTTTTCTTCAAATGAGAGAATCTGTCTACCAACTTTTCACTTGAGAGATTCGTTGAAACAACTTTTTTGTCTACCACTTGAGAGCACCTTGAAAAATATTTTTGTCTACCACTTGAAAGCATTTTAAAAATCTTTTTGATGGCCACTTAAAAAAAAAAACTCTCTTCACTTGAGCAAGTGAAAAACAACACTTTTTTTCACATGAGAGAATCTTGAGTTCACAAAATTGAAAATAGTTATCTCCTTCCTGGCTTTTTGAAATCTTTGTCAGGTCTTCCTTTTCAGTGTCGGCAAAGCTGGGAGAAATAATTTGTTGGCTGACAAACACATCTTGAAAAGTAAATCTTTTGAGTTTTGAGCACGGTATTGATAAAGTTCATCAATAAAACTTGGACCATGTAGTCATTTGGTAGTTTTTAGATTTTCTTGATCAATTAAATCATCAATATCAAACCCATAACAATCATCTTCATTATCATAGGTATGATCTGATTCTTCATTTGAGGTTTCTGACTTTGATTTCTTTGAAGCGGCGTCTGCTAAATTTGCAATCTTCTCAGAAATCACAGATAATTCTTCTCGAGTTTTGCACTGACTTAACATAGCCAATAATTTTGATTTTTCTGTAAGAAAATTAGCAGTTTTTTCTTGCTCTTTTTTAGAGGGAACTCCGATATTCTTTTGTTCTTGAATCCATGAGTTTACCGCCTTAGGACAGCAATTTGTTTCATGAAATTTTGACCACCATTTGATTTTGAATCTTCTTGCAATCTTTTTGACATTGAATTCTGAACCAGGATTTTGAATAATTTGATAGTCCCAACAGAAAATCCATGAGACTTTGAGATTCATTGAAAATTGAAATAGAAGATTTTCTTGAGGTTTCAAAAAGATTTTTGCCTCTTTTTTAAAATGTTCAAACCCTTGACGAGTAAGACTGGGTAAAACAGTCTCGTCAATGCCAAAATATTTGAACTATGCTTGAAACCATTTTGGGAAATTGTTTGAATAAGCTTGGTTAAAAAGAATAAATCTGGAATGTGAAACTGATCTAAAGAAAAAGACATTAGACCAAGCATCAATGTAGTCAAAATAATTGAAACGAGATTCAAATGAAGCATTTTTTGAAAGATTCATTTTCTTCTCATTCCATGAGTTGGTCCCCCAATCTTCATAAGACCACACTTTTTGAATAGAAATTTTTGAGAAATCAATGTAATTTTGTTTTTGACGATTTGGAGTATGAGTAATGATGGCTAATCCTGTTTTGACGAGAATAGCTTCTTAGTATTCTCTTGATTTGTTTGATATTTTTGGGTAAGAAATGGAAGTCTCGAGGTAAAAAATCTTGAATACATTCATCAAGGGATGAATATCGATGGATCCATGAAGTTTCCATTTCGCAAATAAGAAGGTAAAGAGGTTTTGTAAAATAATGAAAGGTAATTTGAGATGGATTAATTTCTGGTAACTTACCAG